ATCCTCTGACTCAGTTGAGTCCCTGATTTTCTGATTAAGGAGACTGTGGAACCACAGAGGAAAGTGATTCTACGATGTGTAGTGTGCCTAAGGGTAGTCAGGAGGAGAAAAAAAAAAAATCTCTCAAGCTTTCACAGAAAGGAAGTTGGTCAAGCAATGGCTTCGACTCATCCAGATGACTGACACTGTCAGAAGAATCTAGAGGTGCTGCACTTGGTTCCAAGATAATTTCCTGAGGAGATTTACCTGACCTTGATAGAAAGAAGTTAATTTTTATTTATACAGGTCTCACTTAACTTGGTCTTAAACATCCAGCAGAAAAGTATAACCACAAGATATATAAATGCAATACTATAGTAGTATGCTGGCTGTAGAAGGGTCAAGTCACCAACAACTTCTGACAGTTGCCAGCTAGACTGGTAACTGATCATTGTTACGGGTTTTTGGACTGTATTCTTCAAGCACAGTTTTTCCAGCTTCAACTAAACACCCATCATTTACACACAAAACAGAGGAGAGAGAGATGCTGGGAGCGGCTGGAGCTGGAAATTGATCAGGACAGAGCCAGAGTGCCTCAAGTAGTCCAGCTACCTCAGTCTTGTGAAAAACATCCGCCTGGACAATTTCAGTCCTTAGTTGCTAGGCAGCATTGCCTCTGGTGATACTAAGTTTGCAAGAATATAAATAAACATCCCCGCTGTTGTTGTGCAGTCCTCTTGCCTGGCCTCTCCACCTGACCCCAGCTCTTGTCTCTTGTCTTTATTTTCCACATACTTGCCGCCATTCCTCCTCAGGGTACACTGAGAGACCGATGGCTTCCCTACCCCTTACTACTAAAACTTTCAGCTTTATTGGATTCTCACAGTTTAGAGGACTTAGGGCTTCTTAAAAACTATTTACAATCACTAAACTAATTTAGAACATTAATTAGACAATTTGGAGAGATTAGTTCTTTCTTAAATATAACCTCACACTTGGCATATTTTGTTTGTAGTCTACTGCTTTGTCATCAAATACATGCTACACTAGGAGAGATTTCAAACAGATTTGAATTAAGTTTGGTTCACTTAAAACAATGATTTTATAAAATTGCCAGTTAACTTCAGCCTGGATCATACAGAAGGAAACAAGTATGTTTTTACTGCAGTAGTTGAAAATAAAAAATTGGCAGAATTATTTCATTGTAAGATCTCTTTCATACTAAGCCATACCTTATTACTTATTTGTTTATTAAGAATTTGGGGTGAATTTTACTTGAGATAATTGGTGTGTGAATTTGAAAAAATGAGAATTGGGGCCCATTGTGTTTCTGTAACATTGGAGAGGATGGCTGTGAGGACATGTGTCGATTAAGTGTATGCATCTTGATGACCCTGTGTTCTTCCTCCCTCTTTTTTTCTTTTGGAATTAATTTTATTCTGTATTACTGAAGAACATTTTGTAGTTCCAGAGTAAAAGCTATAAAACAGGCAGATTGGGAGAAGTCTTGCTTTCAAGCCTGTCCTCTCTCTTCACTGTTTTCTTCCTCCCCTGCAGGTAATCATTGTTATTAGTGTTTGGCTTATTCTTTTTTTCTAAACATTCAAGTAAGTACATACACACTTACTATCTTTCCTCTTGCTCAGAAGGTAACATCTTATTTACATTGTTCCATGTCTCTTTACACTCTGTAGCAGTGTATAAAGTGTGATAGAAATATAGTACAGTGACTGTCTAAATAAAAAATTTATTACATTAAGACACATTGCCATTAATCTTCTTTAGAGTACTTCCCCTTCCTTCAAACACATTTATCCCATTGTTCTTTCTGAAGCAGTTCTGGAGGTCCCCTTTTGAGTTTTTAGAAGATAGATGTGATCAAAAGTACTGAGTGCTACGATGGAGTGACATCCAACAGTATGGCAGGTATCTTAATTACTTTTCTCTAAGAAAAAACACCTAACACCCAAAGTTAAATTAGTTTATTTCAGCTCACCGTTTATAGAGGTTTCAGCTTATAGTCTGGCTCCAAGGCAGGGTGGCATGGCAGAGGGGCATCATAGAGGAGAAACAGTTCATGGCAAGCAGGGCAGGCAGAAGGCAGCAAACAGAGAAGTAGTGAAGTAGCAGCAACATAATGGCAGATGTTGCCTTTATATTCAGGCTGTAAACCTGTTGATTGATGCCATCCACACCCAGGGTCGGGCACCCTTAACCCTAGCGTCACATACCCTAGATCCAGCTACCTGTGAAAAACCTCACCTATGACCCCATGAGGCTTTAAGTGGACATCTAGACTCAAGCCAAAACAGCATGCTCATAAAACCTTATAGTGTGTCCTCATCCAGTGGATCCAGCACCTTGTGACTCCTGGCTTGTCCTTAAAGTCAGAGTGATCATGAAAGGCAAATGTTTTGAGTCCATCCACAATATGGATGCATGTCATAGTAGCACAACTAGAGACTCGAAAGAAGACTTCCATAATTGCTTGAGAAAGTGGCAAGAACAATGGATAAGTGTGTTCAAAGAAAGAATTTTGAGGGGAATTAGTGGCAGTGTATCTTTTGCTGTAGTAAAGATTTTTTGAAACATTCACTATTTTTGATTACACCTTGTATACATCTCATTATACCATTTTACAGCTGCATAATATCTGTGCAATACTTTGTCAGGTTAGATGTTCCATCCTGTACTGATACTTAGGTTGCTTCTAGTCTTTTGCTTTACAGGGAGTATTTTCCCAGTATATCTGTGGAATAGATTCCTAGTAGTGAGATTGTGATTCAGAGGATAAATACAAATTGTAACAGTATTCATTTCTCTTAATAGTGCATTAGAATTTGTTTCCTTACAACTTTCTCAAGAGTATTTAAGACTTGTGGATGTTTTGCTAATCTTATAGGTAAGAAATGTGATTATATCAGTATAGTTTTAATTGCCATTTCTCTTCTAATGAATGAGATCAAATGTTTTTTCATTTGTATGTTTTGAACTGTCTTCATTACTTATGCTCATTTTTTTCAGAAAGTATTTCTTGGTTATTATTGTTGGTAATATCTTGAAGAATTACTCTGAGTATTTCTCTGTAGGGGTAGTAATAACCATTGATGAAACAGTATCACTAGGCATGTACAATGTAAAGAAAAGTAAAACAGAAGACCTGTTTCTTGATTCAAAGAAATTAGGACCTAGTTTGGATAAAGCAGACTATGGTGAAAATCACGGTTGTGTGAAACAAATGGTAATGGAGATCAATATCAGGAGCATTGGGATCAATACCAGGAGTTGTGGGAGCATTTAGTTTAGGGTAGAGTGACTGGGTAAAAGGGAGGTTAAGAGAAAACAATTGCCTCGTGGATAAAGTGATACTTGAAGTGAATGTTTAAGGAAGAGGAAAGATTGCTTGGCTAACCCTTTGGGTGAGAGTATTAGAATCAGCTTGAGGAGGCAAACAGAGAGTGGTGTCTGTCTGAGGAATCTTGGGTTTCTGGTTCTGTGGGTAGTGGTGAGAGCTGATCTCGAAACTGCAGCTGGACTATCTGATAATCAGGATTTGATGTACGTCTCTGTCTCTGCTTCTTGCCCTGAACCTACATCAGGTTGACTGTAGCAATGCCAAGTTGAAACATTTGATTAAAAGAATGTTTCTGATTTTCTTTTTGAGGCATGCATCGCCTCTTGATAATCTCCCCACTCCTTACAGGTTTAGGGACACGAGAGGGGAACTCCAGGGAATGAATAGAGTTATTTCATTCTTTCGTATTCATTTTATTATAGAATAAGCCTAGAGTCTTTATTTATTACTTTTCTATTCATCCTTACTGCTTGCTTTTAGCCAAGTTCAAGGCTCCTTGTGTAGTAATTTGTTTCACTTGGCCAAGGGAGAAGGATATGCCAAAGTGGGGGTGATGTGAGGGAGTTGACAAGGCTGGCAAAGTAGGCGAGGCTTAGGCTGATTTTGTTTTTCATTTTAAGAAATACGTATTTTTATTTTAGAGTTAGTGGAGAGTCTAAAATGTGACATGGGTGGACAGGAAAGGGATTGGAGGAAAAGAATGACAGGATTAGCTTTGCATTTTTGAAAGTTAACTCTGATGATCATGTTGAGGAAGTGGATTGGAGAAAGTACAGTGTAAGTAGAGAGCAGTGATTTCCAGATCAGCAGAAGCATTATTACCCGGGCACTTGTTAGAAATACAGGTTTTTTTAAAGCTCTACTCGAGGTCTACTGAATCAGAAAGTCTGGGTGTGATGCAGCAATCTATGTGTTGTTTGATTCTTATGCATGCTAAAGTTTGAAACTAGAAATATGAAGGCCAGTAAGGGAACATCGCAGTTGGTAAAATGCTTTTCACATGAATTACATAGTTCATTTTGCTGGGATATTCATTATATTTGTGTTGTACATTCATAATCAAAAAAATCTAGGATTCTATGACTTACTTTATGAAAGCTCAATATTGTAAGATTTGAAAGGCTAGGATAGTGTGCTAGTGCATTATACTTGGAAAAAAGGTGACACGCTAGAATCATGTGTGAAAATAAACAGAAGTTGGAGTGGAATAAAACAAATGAGAGGCACTTAATCTTGAATGCTCTAGATGCTGGCTGTGTATGACATCACTTTGTAATGTGGTACTTCAGGCTGAGTTGAGAAAACTGAAGAAGTTATAGAAAGGAGGAACACAGATTCTTTTGTGGAACCCACAGGAAAGGAGGGTGGCTTCACATACTCTATGCAGCTATTAGAAGGCTGCCTCCTTTCAAACTGTGGAATCACTAGCAGCTGATTTGTATCTATCGTAGTTTTTACTTGCTTTTTTTTTGAGGGTGTGAGATTTGTAGTTTTAAATGTCACCTTTGTGTAAATTGGACTGAGTACATCTGATAATCTCCCATTGGTTTCCTCTGTTAGCTTTGCTGGGTGACCAAAAGAACAGATAAAGCAAATGTCATGTAAATATAACATACGTATCTTAAAGGATAAGTAATCTTCTTTTTTCCTTCAAATTTTATTCCAGGATCCATCAGTTACACAGGTGACAAGAAATGTTCCACCAGGACTTGATGAGTATAATCCATTCTCGGATTCTAGAACAGTAAGATTATTCTTAATTAGACTACTTTAAAATGTATAAGTGAAAGTTAAGTAGAAATTATAGTAATTAAGGTTTTTTATTTGATTGGTTACATTTATGTACAACAAGCTGTTAATGTTTTAGAATTCAAGTTTTTTGTTTGCATTGTTATTTTTAACATAAAGGACTCAGTAGTAATTGAAAATTCCCATGTTGGTTCTAGTGAGACACTACCTACAGTGCTGTGCTGGGAAGTATGTGTGTTCCTTACATACACATTTTCTTCATGGTAAAGTGGGCAGTTCGTTTTCACAGAGTGACTCTGGAACTGTGTCTTGTTGTTTATGTGGTGGCCATTTGAATCAGTCTGTTCTTTAGGACCTGTCTTTTGTGATGGTGAACCGGAAACTCTGGAGCTTTACCTGGTCTAAGGAAACGTATTCTTCCCCTCAAAATTTAGTCTTTTTAGACAAATTTATGTGTTTGCAATACATAATTACATTCATAGTGGTAATGGTATACATATATCCTAATCATTTAAACATTTTTAAAAATTAGTACATTATCATACATAATGATCATGTTCATTATAGGAAATTTGTACCTGTACATATTATATCTTCATTCTGCTTTTAAAATACATCTTAAATATCGTAATCATTTTAACTTCCCTTTTTTCTCCCCTTCTTCTCTCCATCCCCAGACTACCTTTCCATATCTACAAAGTCCCCCTCCCTGTTTCCTATCACCTCTCTTTTATTTTGCTTTTTACTTATGTTTTGGATTTCTTATGTAAGAGAAGCCATGTGATATTTAACCTTTTGTGTCTGAATTATTTAACTTAGCATTATGGTCTCAAGATGTATCCATTTTCCTACAAATGATCCAAATTTATTCTTCTTTATGGCTGAGTAACACGTGTATACAGATTATCTTTATCCATTTGTTGATGGGCACATAGGCCTCTTCCAACATTTATCTGTTATTAATTGTGCTCCTATAAACATGGATAGGCATGTATCAATGTAATATGATGTCTTTCCTCTTTGGGGCAGATTCCTGGAAAAGGCATAACTGTGTCAAATGGAAGTTCTATTTAAAATTTTTGGAGGAATCCTTGAAATACAGTCTTGGCTTGTAAAATGTAAGGGTATGAAAAAAAATCTAGAACATCAGCTTGCTGTTCTGGATGCATGTTAATAAGAGCACATAATGAACTTTCTTACACTATCATTCTGGTCCTAGTCTTTTGCAGTTAAATCCTCTTTTTAAAGTTTTTTTGATGATTCTATTATGAACCAGATTTAGGAACTATTTTGGTAGAGTCTGTTGAGAATTATCTCCAAATTTTCTCTGGCAAATAATTTTGTTCTCATTATTTGTGTCTTTACCTTAGACATCACTGTCATGAGGTCCCTAGTTTTAAACATTCTCATCTCTTAAAATGTTAGTCAGTACTATCTTTAGCAGCACATATGCTAAAATGTTAGTTATCCTCTTCTGAAGTTCTTCATTGTGTGCTTGGATCTGTATATCATTATAATGATTCTTAATTGTTAATCACCTGTTCCTGATACTTTTTTTGCAGTTTGGAAAATAATTCAAAAGGATAATGCAGTTTTTTTTTTTTTTCTTGTAAATGTCTTTAAGGTGTATGATATTAACTCCGTTAGTTTTAGGAAGAGCTTTGTACAAAGTTATGATAAGAATTATGTAGTGTTTGGTCTTCCTAGTTCATGTTACACAGCTTCTAAAACTCTTGGAATCTCTAGATATATGACAGTCAAGTGGTTTGGTGGCTTGGGGGTTCTAGATCACTTCTGCATGGGTACTGATCATTGGAAAATTCTAGCTTGATGAGAGGGTTGGAACTTTAAACCTGTACCCTAAGAAAAGGACTGGAGATTGCTTTAATCATCAATAGCTGGTAATTTAATTAATCATGCCCATGTAATAAAATACCAAAGGAAGGGGGGTGTGGGGCTAGAAAGAGAATGATGGCTCTGGGGCTGCTCCTCCTCCGTACTTTGCCTTTATATCTCTTCTTTTTGGCTGATCCTTAATTATGTCCTTTATAATAAACTGCTTATAGTAAGTTGACTGTTTTCCTGAGTTCTGTGAGTTCTAAAAAATTATCAGACATGAGGGAGGGGTCATGGAAACGCAGTTTATAGCTAGTTGGTTAGAAATGTAGGTGATAACCTGAAATTGGAGGCTGGTGTTTAAAGTGGGGCAGTCTTGCACTGAATCCTTGACCTGTAGGATCTGTGATAGTCCCAGGAGATAGTGTTAGAATTGAATTAAATTGTAGGACATTCAGTTGGTGCCCATATTGGAGTATTGGGGTGTGTGTGTTGTGGGTAAAAATGTCCAAAAGTAAAAGCATTAAAATTAAAATGAAATTTTAAATTTCACTTTATTTCAAAGCTCTTTTTTGCTTTCATTTTGAGAAATATGTATTTTTTATAGAGCTAGCAGAGAGCCTCTAAAAATGTAACATGGATGGACAGGAAAGGGTTTGGAGGAAGAGAATGACAAGATTAGCTTATATGTAGCAACTGTATTTAAGGCTGGGGTCACTGAAGTGCTTATTGAGCAGGTTGAACCATGTGAAATTGTTAGCAGGTTCTGGGGTGCTGGAGTCTCCTGGAGGTGGTTTCTAGGTTTTGTCCATCCTGAGCAAAGAATTGGTCAAGACAAGTGCAAACGGTAGCAAAGCTTTATTAGAGAGAGGATAAGGAACAGACTCCACAGAGTGATTTTGGGCCCAGTAAAAGTGGGAGTAAGTTTTAGGAGGAAGTCCACATGCAGGGTTTTTGGGAACTGTTTGCATGAGTCCTAGATTTTTGTAGTTAACAGGTCACACCTACTTACACAGCCAGTTTTGCCACACCCTAATCTGCCAATTAGTAGACCTTTCATTTACAGTAAATTAGTGCTGTGAATGTGTGAGAGGGTACAGTTTGGTACTAGTTGCTGAAAAGAAGAAAAACGAGCTAGCATGTTGCACTGCACTCTGTGTAATGTTAACATGATTTCTGGCGAGTGGAGCTAGACCCCAAGACTGCTTTTAAAGTTTGCCAATAAAGAGAGGGGGAGGGCTGGGGAAGGTTATATAAAAGGAATTAAGACACATTATGTACATGTACTAACTCTCCACAGTGAGTGTAATCATTAGTATGTAACATAAACACATACTAATAAAAATAAGAATTTGAAAAAAGTTTGCCAATAAAAAATGAAAAGAGATTTTCATATAATTGTTAAAAACATTGCTAGCAAGATGTTTAATTTTTCTATAGTCACAGCTTTGATTATTCTTGTCTATGGTAGCATTTTTTTTTACCATATTGTCTACTTTGCCATGTGCTTTACTTATACCACCTTATTGAATTCTTGCAACTACATTCAAAATGAGTATTTTAAACTTCCACTTTGCTGATAAAGAGTCCAAGACACAGGATGTTTAGTAAGTGGCAAAGTTGATTTATGAACTCATCTTTGTATTCTGTGAACCTTTTGTTTTTTGTATTTTGCTTAGATCTGTCTTTTACAGATGGATGCCTAAGGAATGGAAGATTTGTAGTCCTGGTCTTCGAGAAATTTCTCATCTAAATTGAGATTTTAAAAATTATATAAGGAGAAACAGAGAAGATATACCTAGGACAATTGAAACATAAACATATAAGTTACAGTCCTAAATGTGGAGACTTCGCATTCATGGAAAGGTTTTTCTGGCTGGGCATGGTGAAGTATGTCTGTAATCTCAGCACTCAGGAGGCTGAGGTAGGAGGATCGTTGTGAGTTCAAGGCCACCATGGGCTACAAAGTGAGCTCAAGGCTCACCTGAACTGCATAAAAGCCTCAAAAAGTAAAAAACAAAAACAAAAACCAAAACCAAAAAACTTGAATGTTTTTATAATTTACATATTAATTCACTCTTTATTATAAGTTCAGAGGAGACCTTGTAGCGCAGACTGTCACAGGAGACCTTACAGTGTAGACTGAGCCCATTGGCAGTGTCATGAGCTGTTGAACATGGGGGTGTGGCCAGTCTGTATTGAGATGTGCCATAAAAATGAAGAGTAGTCATGAGTTAGGAAGTAGTATTTTTTGTTTGATTTTAAAGTGCATTTCCTTACTGGATTATGTTGTACTTGGTAGGTAGGTTCTCTGGCCTGGTCTTTAAAATCTAATGGATAAATTACTAAAGGAATTATCCCATCCTTGAGAAGTGATATATATTTATGGGGAATGTTTCTTTATAATTGGATAACAAATTGTTTGGTTTTAGAGATACTGGGGACTGAACGCAGAGCCTTTTCATTGAGCTACATCCTCAGCTCTGGCTCCTTTATTTATTTTGAGACAGGACTTTGCTAAGTTACTGAGTTAACCAGAATGAGCTTGAATTTGCAGTCTTCTTGCCTCTCCTCCCATAGTGCTGGGATTGCCGGTGTGCATCATGATGCCTGGCCAGGTAATAGGTTTAAAAAATTTCTTTGTGGTGCTGAATTTGAAGCCTCTAGGTGAGTGTTTAACCCCTGAGCAATACCCCAGCTCTCACTAGGTAACAGTTTAATGCCTATTAGAATTACATTTTCACTAGTTTCCACTGCTGGTGGTGGTGCTCATGGCTTCAATCTCTACTACTGAAAAAAAAAAATTTTTTTTTTAATTTAAAAAAGAAAGCAAATGATGCTAGTCACAATGCAATAAATCTGACAAGATTTCCATGCTGGATATTGAAGGGTAGGACACTGTGTGGACGAAGTGCAGCAATGTGTTGCGAATCCTTAGGGACATTTTTGGGGTCTTATGCTAGCAGCTGCCATGTGTGATTTGTCTCACCCACAGCAGCAAGATCTGTATGTCTGTACTGTGGAGGAGAAAAGTCCAGGTACTGGTAGTGTAAGGGATGCCCAGTGGTCATCCCTGGCCATAAGAATTAACATGAAGCATTGTTGTATATAGGAAAGAACTGCTGCTAACATAACTCAGGATGCTATGGAGACAGAAAG